TCCAGGTCACACAGCAAAATATTTAGGCGAATATGCGAGTAAAATGGTCGCACTCTAGAGCCCTGGTTGGGTTGATTGCTTACCTCTGCCAGCCATGGCTATGGCTTTAATCAATCAACACTTTGATATTGCAGCTACAGGGCAAAGCTAAGACCCCACTGACTGACTCCTGCGGAAGCTATGTGTGTTCAGACTCAGTTTATTTGGCAGAAGTGATAAAATACTGGATCTGGGGAACATGGAGCTACAGAGTGATTTATAGCGCGGTCTTGGGGATGCTTGGAGATGATGTTCCTTTTTTTTCGCAGCAGTAGTTAAACACCCACACCAGCAAAAGCAGTTTTTCTATCATCTGAAAGTGACTACGCCACTGCTTATAAGTTAAGTATAACTAGAAGAAGTCTTTGATGTGTCATAAGTTATATCCAGCTCAGGGCTCCAGCTATGCATTTGGTTTGCTTAAAGCCGATTTTATGCTTGATCCTGCAATGCGATCCGGAGGCTCCGTACGTAGGGTGTGACATAAATGCGGCACCTTTGGAACACTGCGGAGGGCTCCGTATTGCTCCACATTGACATGATTGGTTGCCGGTAGGTGTAGGTGGTACATCCTGTATAAACACAAACTCACTTATTTGACCAGAAACATGGAGAACTTTGACGAAAGGCTATCAGAAAAAAATAAATACATCTTTATGATACCTCGTGTAGGGATTTCAAAGACACAAACATGTGTTTCAACTCCTGGAATGAGATCGGGGAGGTGATGGGGATAGATGCGATAAAGAGGTCAATGGAACGCAGACCGTGGGGGATAGAAGGACGCCGGATTGGCGCACATTCAACACATCTGATCTAACAAAGTGGATATTCGTCAAATTTGTCATGATTAACGTATTGTAACAGGCCCTCAATGTGGTTACTAAAATACGATTTGGATATATTTGGCTGTTTTTCGCTGTGTAACATTTAGAAGATGTCCGGTTTCAGGTTTAGATTGCAGTTGATTGATGACGATGACATGAACATGTTTTGGGGTTGACATCCATACAAGCATTATACTCAGATTTTTACCTCAACATAGTGTGAAATACACATATAAACAATAGCCTAAATGCCCCCAGCTAAATTAGCCTACAATGGGGAGATTCGGGATGGAGATGCAGGTGGGAAAACGGTGCAGCCTTTTTACTTCATGCTATCTTGGCTGAGCTCCTATGTCAAGCACCGGGAAACGGACTCTAACATCTCAGAAGAGGTACGGTCTTTTCGTTTAGCCAGTTGCTCGAAATTAGCTGGATGGCTAAAGAGATTAGCCCTGAATCACTACAAGTGGTGTGGCGCAGACTAATTTATTGGATGCGTATGACAGCTCCCCAAAGCGCAAGAAGTATGAATGCTCTGATTTCTGCAGAGGCCACATTGCAGTAAATGCTGTATGGCCACTGCAGACGACGGATTGACCATAAATCGGCTTTTACTTGCTAGCTATGTGGCTAGATGTCAAGATCAAGCTTCTTGGTTACAGCAAAGACATTCAATCCCATTCAATAGCGCCCCTTGTGTGCACTTCTGGTAATACCATATACCCCGGTATGGTACAGAAACGGTATGACTGTATGAAAATCTGGATACTGCCCAACCCTAATATGAAGTAGCTAAGTTCAATATATATAGTTCAGTGAGTAAATCACTGCTTTACCAGTACTAACACTACTGCATCGCCTTTATGTTACCAAAGGCGAAGCTGTCTCCAAAACTGCAAGGTGTCTCTACGTGAAAACTACAGTTCAAGTAAAGTTGTAAGGACAGAACCTAATTATGTTTTAATTAGCTAGTTAGCTTACTTTCAAAATTGAGAGATTGGGTGTATATAGCTAGTGAAATTACACTGACCAAAAATATAAATGCAACATGTAAAGTGTTGGTCCCATGTTTCATGAGATGAAATAAAAGATCCCAGAAATTTGCCATACGCACAAAAAGCTAATTTCTCTCAAATTTTGTGCACAAATTTGTTCACATCCCTGTTAGTGAGCATGTTTCCTTAGCCAAGATAATCCATCCACCTGACAGGTGTGGTATATCAAGAAGCTGATTAAACAGCATGATCATTACACAGGTACAACTTCTGCTGGGGACAATATAAGGCCACTCTAAAATGTGCAGTTTTGTCACACAACACAATGCCATAGATGTCTCAAGTTTTGAGGGATGATGCAATTGGCATGCTGACTGCAGGAATGTCCATCAGAGCTGTTGCCAGAGAACTGAATGTTAATTTCTCTACCAAATCCACCTCCCCGCCATCACAACCGCATACCACATGTATGGTGTCGTGTGGACAAGCGGTTTGTTGATGTCCACGTTGTGAACAGAGTGCCCCATGGTGGTGGTGAGGTTATGGTGTGGGCAGGCATAAGCTATGGACAACAAACACAATTTGCATTTTATCAATGGCAATTTGAATGTACAGAGATACCGTGACGAGATCCTGAGGCCCATTGTCGTGCCATTCATCCACCGCCATCACCTCATGTTTCAGCATGATAATGCACGACCCAATGTTGCAAAGATCTGTACGCAATTCCTGGAAGTTGAAAATGCCCAGTTCTTCCATGGCCTGCATACTCTCCAGACATGTCACCCATTGAGCATGTTTGGGATGCTCTGGATCGACTTGTACGACAGCGTGTTTTGGCCTACACTTTGTTTCATAGCTTGCTTTGAACAGTACCTCCAGAGTCGTTGAAAACCAGAGTTTCAGTATGTGTGGGGTCTGGACTTTGTTTGGGTCTATGAATCCAGATGGTCTCTGTGGAGCTAATAGAATTGTGTTTATGTGAGTCATATTTTACGCTAGACTGGCTCATGACTCATATTTGTACAGTAGAATGGTGAATGGGAAACTTTTGGCACCAAATTAAAACAAGGCAGAATACACCTTAGGAAGGGTGGTTAGGATAACGCCATCTATATCGATGACATTTGGAGGTTTGTCTGACAACATCAATTAGCTACAATTGCTGCAAAGAATTGCTGGCCACTGGCTAAATCAGTCAGCTGTAGCACATGCAGTGACTGTTGTGTGATAAATGCTTATAGGCTGTCTTAGGAGAATCTTAGGAGGCTTGTGTTGTGTGACTCTCAGCTAGTGGTGGGCAGGCAGCTAAGATTAAGTGGGAGAACCCAGGTGGGGATCTCGTTAGCGTCAACGCTTGTGATGAGTAATTCTGTTCAGCTAATGAGACAGTGTTTTTAGTTTTTGTGTTGTTTGTTTTTCTCTCTTTCAGAGCAAACGGTACTTCAGCGCCAGGATGAAAATGACTATTTGAAGAGCTCTTATGAGAGATGGCTTTCTTCTCTCCTGATAAAACGGGTTTGATGGAAACTTCTAGAAGTGGGATGTGGATTGAAAGTCAATAATGTCTCACACAATAGGCCCAGTGGCATCGTAACCCGGGGCAATGCTGCTGCACTACTTCCTATTGTCCAATCTCAGAGGTCAAGTTAAGGTCAGAGGCAGCCCTTGTTTGACATTACTACAAAGAGGAACGGTTTTCAGAATTCCAGTCACTGACATGTTTTCATCTTATTTTCCACTTTCTAAAAGGGAACCGCCCCTAAATTGTAGGATTCAACAAGTTGTAGCATATATTTGACCACTAGTCTATGGTCGTGGTCGATAAGCGTGGGTGCTCAACTGTCTTCTAATTCTCAATTCCTCTCTTTTTATTATATCTTCTCTGTAGGTAAGAAGTCTATTTAGATATCCCTACGCCCACCTTGTCTCCAACACTTTGTATGTAGGTGGCCTTCCCTGTGTCAGCAAGAGGCCACCCCTGATAAATGTGGATAAGTACATTGTCAGCTCTCGCACACTCCGTGAAATTCAATACCAACAAAAACAGAGCACTTCTCAGGGCCTTTTTTTAATATAACGCTGATTTAGGCCTACTTATTCTCTCTCATGGCTAGCAGTGTAGCACGGGGAATACTGTGTATGTTTATCTGTGGCAACTGAATGGAGCTGCTGTGCCTGGGTTAGTTTTCACTAAAGTAGATTCAGACTGAGGCAAAGAGGAGGGATATGATGATCTGTTGAATTCAGTGATATTGGGAACAAGGGCAGAGTGGCGCCGGGTGGATCTACTTGGTGAAGGACAAAACTAATTTCCCAAATCCCCCGGAGACCCTCCAATCGTTGGTTGGTTGGTACAGTGGTGCATTGTCTCCGCTGGAGTCAGAGAGAGTATGTGTGTACTGTAAGTGAATTAGCGTCTGTGTGTGTGTGAGCGCGTTAGCATGAGTGTGTGTGTGTGCATGAATATGTATGCTTTGTGAGTGTGTGTACATCTTATAGGAAAGGCTTCTTAGTAGTGTGAGACCTCATCAGCCTGACCTACCTCCATAACGGAGTGGCTCCACCTATCTGGTCTGTATGGATGCCTCCTGCACTCCTCTCTCTCCCCTCTTACGCCACACTGGGATTCTGTTGAGCCTATTTATAGCATCGTCCTGAATAATGAATCTCCTGCAGTCAGGAGGCTTTGCCCTTCCTCCTTAGACACACACACACACACACACACACAAACACACAGATGTTACCCAAAGTCACACACATATACACTTTCAAACACACCTGCTACCTACAAAAACAAACGTGCACCCACATACAGATAGTAGGCACACACCGACACCCCTGTGTCCACAATGGCTTGTGGCAAGATAACCGCTACCAATGCCAAAGATGAGAGAAACTCTCTATCCTCTAGAGAGAACGTTAGGAAACAGAAGTAGCCCAGAGCTGACAAAGTGCCTCAAACGACATTATCACATCCAATATTACCCTTGGAAACGATTCAGACATGTTAATAGGCAAGGCAAAATGAATGCTACGGCATGTGTGCCATATTGCTTTCATTGTGATCTTGATCTGACAATAACTGGACTTCCTTCCCCCTTTTCTCCTCCCTCTTTCTTTCCTTCCCTCCCTCCAGGCGCTGGATGTGGACCGTAGTGTGCTGTACAAGATGAAGAAGTCAGTCAAGGCCATCTACACCTCGGGTCTGGGTGAGTCAGAAAGGTTAACACTCATTTACAGTCACAACACCATACCGCTCCCATCTGATGAAAGGTCATAGGTCAGAGTTCAGAGCCACCTGTGACGGTCATCACAGAAACTCAATAAGCTAGTCCATGTACCTGCTCAGGCTGTGTGTGGGCCAGGGTATGACAGGGTTTAGGGTCCGGGTGTTTTAGGGTCAGATGAGGGGAGAGGATGGCCTCTGTTTGAAGATTTATGGCCCTGCCTTCAAACTCCATATGTTCTCCAAACACAGGGTATGAACAGCATCGCTGACTACCTCTGTCAATGCTTGTCAATAGGCTAGGGTTTACACTGAGGAATCCATATGTACTGGAAGATGGCCACTGGTAGACTGGCTTCATTAGTGTGTGCTTGTTTTGGGTGGGTTGCATGTGTACGTGCGTGTGTTTGTGTGTGCATGGAGCTCATCATCATGCTCACTCTGGCTGGCTGTGACAGTGTGGGGTGTTTCCAGCGCCTTGTGTTTGGGCTGTATGACAGGGTCCTGCTGAGAGCGTATGGAATGCTTTTCTCTATCTGTGCTGAGCTGGGCTTTTTTGGGAACACTGCTACCTCTGTTCAAGGGGGGACAGCTGTCTACCCCAGACCCTCGAGGAACAGCTGTACCAGGGCACACCCTTTGTGTGAGTGCTTGTGAGTGTACGGGGGAAAGAGGGTGACAGTGTTCCGCTCTGCCCCACTACACTGTGTTCTAATGGAGTTCCCAGCACTCACTCCCATCTCCTTCCTCTCTTCCTGGTATCCTGAAATAGTGCCTTTGTGTCACTAAACAACATTGCAGATGTGTTTTTATGTGTGTGTATATGTGTGGATGGCTCTGGTAGGCGTTTTGACTCTTTTACCAGTTGGTTACTAGGCAACATCTGCATAATTTGCTGTGGTATCACCCTCAATAGAATTCATGGTGTTGGCTGAATCCTCTCAAAAACAAGTGGCTTAAATTCTTTAAAACCACATTAAGCTTTTAAGCACTTTCGGTAAGAGGCTTTATGGACCTCTTAACACTGACAATCTTAATTGTTTCTTGGACAACAGAAACTCCAGGGGTTCCATCCGTATGCTTTAGGTAATTATCTGTATTTCAGTACAGAAAACACACTATAGATTCATCTTGTTTCTGACATTATTTTTGCTGACATAAAGGGAAGTTAGAGATTCAAATTTAATGTAAATTTGATGGCTTTGCTAGCCACTGAGCGTGAGCGTACAATGAGCGTGTAAACGCAGCTAGCAGCTTGTGATTGTAACCTAGCCTACAATTCCCCTAAGGTGGCAGTACAAGCCATTGCTCATTTGAGAAACGTAATAACTGCGTAGATGTTCAGTACAGTAAAATCAGTGCATAACAGGAAGGTTTCGATAACATTTTTTTAAAAAGGTGCAGTGAAATGTTTTACAGTGTCGGCCATAGTAGTGCGGCGCCCCTTGAGTAAATTAGGGTTAAGTGCCTTGCTCAAGGGCACATCGACAGATTTTTTCACCTTGTCGGCTCGGGTATTTGAATCAGCAATCTTTAGGTCACTTGCCCAATGCTCTAACTGCTAGGCTACCTGATTTGAGTGGCGTTGGAGGCCAGCAGTAAATCTGAGGCCTGGTGACGTGAGAGATTAATCTTTCCTGAAGGCTTTAGTCTGTGATCCTCACAGATAAACCTCGACTACTGGTTAACCTCAGGCCTCAGAAAACTACATAGTCAAGACATCAGCACCCAGGTTTATTACACCCCTGTCAGCTCTGCTCAGCTGTCAGATGTGTTACAGCTATATTAGATACCTGTAGGTAATATTAGTTAGTGTTGTTCGTATTCAGTAACTCTGGACTTATTGTCAATACAACCTTTCAAGTAGTCTTGTTAATTTCACGAGGCAGAAATGTTAAGAATGCTGTAGAAAAATCCAAGTAGTTGTACTGCTCTGGTCATTGATGTAAAGAGACTATTGTGAAGTAAGAGATGTTCCGAAGTCGTCGCTCACATTAGATTTGAATCTGTCCTTGACATTCCACTATTGGTGTTCTTTCATGTTGTGGTTTGCCCCTTGTCATTCATCTAGATGGACCCTTTCTGAATGTACCCTCAGTCAGAAGAAGAGCAGAGGTTGATTACAAACGAGGAGAACATTTGGTGACCAACCAGTCTTCCTGAGAATTAATGCTGTGAATGAAGACTATTTTGCTTTAGCAGAGGTGTGGGAGCTTACATTTACTGGCCCTTCTGTGCAGAGACTTTGTCAGTTCCAATATGAACAGTGAAAGCTTGTGTTGCCGGGCTTGTTAGCATTAGTGCTAAAGTTGGTTCCAATGCTAGCTATCATATTTAGCGCTTGTGTCAGGCTCTGCATAGAACAGAAGGTACCCTTAGGCATAGAACCTAACCCAGAACCTAACCCAGTCCCTCCAGGATTCTGCGCTCACATATGCTTTTGTAATATCAACAATTCCCTGCATATTATGCAAGGGCTTGCAAATTTGACCAATCACTGCACTTTTTACGAATTAAAAACAGTCATATCATTGCAATATTTTAGCGTAGAAACGGACCCACCACTGCAATACAAAAAGAGGGCTCGCAATTTCAACCAATCACTGCACAATATGGTTCAATCAAGCCACACGTCGACAAACCTTTTCCCTCGTCAGCGCATTTTCACCACAAATTGGACAAAATCATTGCAAATGGCAGAATTGCTGCAGCAAAATCAAGGATCTTTGCCTGCAAATATCACAGAAAATCCCTGTGAAATCCTGGAGGGATTGCTAAACTTGACCATTAAGAAGAATGTAAATGTAAGACATTTTAACAGCTCGACATCATTGTCAGTGAGATTCTGTGTTGGTATTGACCAGTCAGGAGGTCTATGCAACTTTGAGTCTGTGCTGCTTGGTATTCTAATGTGGGCTAGAGGCACTGAACTGAACCTATACATCTCTCCCAAGTTCCCTTCCCTACCCACAATCTTAGTCAGTTACCTGGGCCTCACTCTCCTTTGGTGAAATATTCATCCCTGACAGTTGGTCCGAATGGGGAGAAGTCTCTCTTTGCTCTGTAGATTTTTTTTAATCTGTGTTGCTGCCTGCCCTCCATAGCTTTGACAACCACGACCTTCACATGCCCAGGTTTGTAATGTTATTCCCTCCAGCAATACCGACAAGCTGTTTTATCTCAGTCTCCCTCTGCCTCTCCATCTCTTCCTCCCTCCTTTCTCACACTCAGGTAAAAAGGCACGTTTTTGAGAAGATGTGAAGCTAGCTATGTTGTCGAATGGACAAGAATCGTTTTCTCGGAAAGCAGCATCCAAGAGATTCTCACCTTGTTACAGTTGATCTGAGCAGCCTCTCTTGCCTGTCTTGAACAGTCAGGCATTTAGTCAATCAGGCACGCAGGCAGTCAGTCACAGTGACTGAGAAGATGATATGTATCTCCCTCACCACGGACAAAGCACCATCCTCCTGGAGGACAGGGACCCAGCGGATAGCCCGGTCAGACTGACAGAACTGGAGCAGAGCTTCCCCTTGCCACGCCACATGGCTCCCTGGTGCCGCCTATCAGTCTGCCCATCACTGGGCCTGCAGAGCTGTTTTTCATCTGGGTGGTTTATTTTCAGACACAGCTGTTGGTCTAGCTGATGGTGTTTGCTGTATGCACTGCTGTGCCACTGGGTTAGATCTGTTTTTCTGGGTAAACTTTGTCACGATGAGCCCATGGCTCCATAGGCAGGCATCACACCCATGATAATGAGTACACATCTACTTAGTACTCGCTTGCATACACACATGTTGTAAACTGTGATGAATATACCATACATTATACTGGAAGCACACACTCACATACTGTAGATACAGACACACATGAATTAATTTGTCATTCCCCGTGCAGTCTCGCCTTTTTCCATCACAAGCCACACACACACTTTATCGCCAAGCTTCTAGGTAACGGAGTGAATTAGGTTTCCATAATGTAACTACACTGTGGATAGATGTGTCTGTGCCTTAACTGCAGGTAGAGGCCACTGAGAGCCACAGAAACCGCAGGACAGCCATAACACACACACACACACACACACACATTTTACTCCTCTGGCCTCTCTCACTGAGCTCTCCCCTAACGACGACCCCTCTCTCCTCCAATTGGTTGTCCTCTGGGTAAACCTTAACGGCCATATTGTGAAAAGGGTGTTAAGTCCAGCAGTATTTATTCAGCCTCCATGGAGAGTGGCCCTAAGCTGGAAATCGATAGGGATGTGGACATGGAGTTTGTCAGTGCTGAAACCTCCAGCAAAGTAAGCTTGTGATTGACCCCCCCTAGAGTGTGTGTGTGGTGTGAGAGTTTGGGTTGAGGAAACAGAAGCTAGGCTACTATCTGTTGATTAAACAGAGATCTGTCTGGGGAAGCAGACAATGCTGGCGTAACAACACCCCCACCACTCTCTGTGCTGTTAGATAATCCACAGCAGGGGCGTGTGTGTATGCATGTCTGTGTGTGTGTATTACGTTTGTTGTTGCAGATCTACAGTTGGTTTGTTCTGTGTGTCTTTGTATCCATTAAGTTGTCAAAGAACTGTGTGTCTGCCCGTGTGTTGATTGTCAAAGAGCTTTCTATGGGTGAATTTGTCACCTCTCCTTTCCTGAGGGCCTGCCACAGACAGGAACCCAAGTCATTCCATCGACTCATCCACAACAGCAGAACACAGCCCTCCATGTCATGTTATCACTGACTATCCCTGGCTGAGACGGAAAGAGACGAGACAGTGTAGGAATGCAATGGAGGGTGGTGTATACTAGTGTATTTACTATTTACACCCTCACAGACACACAGTACCCTGACGTGTCTAACGGCTGGGGTTGCATAACAGTAAACAGGAGACTAACCCTGTGGGCTTTACACCGGGTGTGTTCTGTCATGGGTTGATAGTTAAGGCACTGAGAGACCCTGAACTCAGGTGCCACTTCAAAACAAAAGCCCAGGCAGGGCCCGCTGGCGACACACAGGCCAGGGCAACCCACAACAAAGCAGTTGGGTTTGCTGCCTAAACAGTCTGCGTGTGTTTGAACGCGTGTTGTACCGTTAGACACCTATGGCCAGAGGTGAGCAAGGGCAAATATAACAGCAACCCAAAAGGAGTTCATCGGTAGGTCCCATTTAGGTAACTTGACTAGAGCTTTATGGGTTCTCTAAAAGCAGGAAAAATGTCCTTCAGTAGACATTTTGTCTTTGGGAATAAGGTTTAAAAGCCTTTAAAAAGGACTTTCAACTCGCCCGTTAAATCTATGCCTATGAGCTCAGAGGACTCCGAACGCAGTGCTTGTCGTTCATGTTTAACATTGCAGTTGGATTTTTATGATATGCTGGTTCTAGACATGATTCATCCACCTTGATCTTATTGCACGACCATAAGAGTTGCTTGTAGTTTTTCAATTTCACGTGTGAACACGTTAAAAGTTGCTCGTTTGTGTGTGGCAGTCTGTCTGGACAGATGCTGTGCGATAATGTGTTCCGCTGAGTCATTCTCTGGGGGCAGATGCCTTGGGGTGTCGATACTCACACTCCTCCTCCACACCGCTCTCTCATCTCTCTCTCATCTCTCTCTCATCTCTCTCTCTCTCTCTGTCTCTCTCTGTCTCTGTCTGTCTCTGTCTGTCTGTCTGTCTGTCTGTCTCCTTTACTGTATCTCGTTCCACCTCAAAAAGCACAGGAAAGAGGATGTGTGCCACAAATGCTACAGTGGCCAAGTAAACAAAACCAAAGCATAGGTTGCTGTCGTACCTTTTCCATAGACTGCTTACAGGGTATGGAAACCAATATGTAATTTGGGTGAACTTTCCCTTTAACAAATCACCTAATAGTAGGAACAGCACCGTCTAGTGGTCAGAACCTGGTAATATGAGGATGTAGGATGGGACATAAACCTAAACAACTTTAATGACTACTTTCTCTGAACAGAAAAAATATTTTTTTACTGAGAAAACATTACATAGGATGAAGAAAAAATACTCAGAGCCGCAGCTCCATACTACTTGTCAAAAATATTATCTCTCTCAATTCAATTCAAAGGGCTTTATTGGCATGGGAAACATGTTTACATTGCCAAAGCAAGTGAAATAGACAAGAAACAAAAGGGGAATAAAAAATGAACAGTAAACATTAACACATCTCGCTTTTTTCTCTCTCTCTCTGTGTTTTCGAGGGGAAGTCTCTGGATCGTCATGGCAACGCTCCCTGCACCGAACCAGTGCCTCAAATCCCAGTGTTCCTCTCCACCTCTGGTTTATTAGCTGTTAGCAGCACTAAATGAAGTGTGGCTCAGAGGCTAGGTGACATCTGTCAGGCCTGCTTTATGGACTTCCCTTTTGTTGCTTGAGTTGGTGCTGCTGGGTTTGATTAGTTGAATTGCCCACTTCCTGTTCCTCTTAGGTTTGACTCTCCTTTTTAATGAAATACCACACCCATATGTATTAGCTTTAGCCTTAGTTTTAGAATCAACCTAACTTTAACATGTACATTTTAGTCATTTAGCTAGCACATTTGGTTCCTTTGAAGTTGTGGGAACGTACGTTTTTGTTTTCCAATTGCTTCTGGGAACGAAGCCATAATTTATTTTTTTAACATTCTGAGAACGGAAGTGAAGATTTTTCGTGATATCCAATTGGTAGTTACGGTCTTGTCCCATCGCTGCAACTCCCGTACGGACTCGGGAGAGGCGAAGGTCGAGAGCCATGCGTCCTCCGAAACACGAGCCTGCCAAGCCGCACTGCTTCTTGACACACTGCTCGCTTACCCCGGAAGCCAGCCGCACCAATGTGTCGAAGGAAACACCGTACAACTGGCGACTGAAGTCAGCGTGTATGCGCCCGGCCCGCCGCAAGGAGTCGCTAGAGCGCGATGGGACTAGGACATCCCTGCTGGCCAAACCCCCCCCCCCCCCCCAGTATGACTCTGCTGATTAGCTACTTTATTGATGAAAATATACTTACTATGCCAGTGATATGTGGTTGTCCCACCTATCTTAAGATGAATGCACTAACTGTAAGTCGCTCTGGATAAGAGCGTCTGCTAAATTACTAAAATGTGAATGTAAAAATTAACTGGAATTCCCACAGAAGAACGTTGTTTCTTAACGTTCTCTGAACAATTTGAGAACATTACTTTAAATAGAAACATGAGGGAACCTGTAGAAGACGTTATGGGAAGGTTGTATGCAAAATGACCATAGGACAAACACGCTCTTACCAAGCTCTTAAGATACATTTGGTTCTCAGAACGTTATGTGCTAGCTGGGTTACAATCAGGAAGTGCATACTGTAACCAGTGACACTGGCAGTTTTAGCTATCGACTCCTACAGTCTAATGAATGGCATCGTTCATGAGTAATTCCTCTTTCTTTCATCTCATTGTAGGAGAGAGTTTGTGATACCCCGTCTGCACAATTGAACCCAGACAGTGTAACCACAGTTCCCTTTGACTGTCTGTCTCTCTTCCTCTTTCAAGGCCTTAGTTTTTCTCATCCCCGCCACATGGCCACTGCTCTGGAGTCACTCCAGTGTGACAACACAGGCTGTGTCCCAAATGGGACCCTGTTCCTTATATAGTGCACTACTTTTGACCCATCCCCATTTGGGATGCAGACACTGTCTTCTCCAACGCTCTCTCTCTTCCTGTCCCATTGTGTCCTTGATTCCCAAAGACAATGCCAGAGAGATGGGGGGGATATCGGAGTGAATGGAATTCCACACACACTGCACTGTGCACTCTAAACAAGGCCCCTATTTATTATTCATTGGAAGGGATTGATTTTTGCCATGTAAGGATCAGAAAAGGTGTGCGTGTGCACTTGCACATGTTATCCTGCTGAGATGGCCCGTGTGTATGTCCATACCTGAAGGACAGGCTGGCAGACTGATTGTTAAATTGCACACTGGCATTGTGCTGCCGTATTCATCCCTTCTTCTCTCTCTCTCTCTCTCTCTCCTCTCCTTCCAGCCCATGTGGAGAACGAGGAGCAGTACACCCAGGCTCTGGAGAAGTTTGGGGAGAACTGTGTCTACAGGGATGACCCCGACCTGGGCTCTGCCTTCCTCAAGTTCTCGGTCTTCACCAAGGAGCTCACTGCCCTCTTCAAAAACCTGGTGAGAGGAAAAACCGAGATTAACCCATACCTGGCAACCCATGTGGTCAGTTCTTGAGGCAACACAGATTAAATCACCAGTGAATCAGCTCTCTGTGTAAATTGACATTGTTCCTGTGGTGAGGCAAAATCCTCTAGAATGACTGTCAGGTGTTTCTAATAAAGCTTTGGGGTTGTTTGAATCTATTGGATTCAAAGCAGGGTCTCGGTAAATTGGATCCAGCAGGTATTTGGTCTTCAAGTAGCACTTTGGACACTGTGATGGAAAACTGATCTACCCCAAAGGCCTCCGATTCCAGATAACATTCTGACCCTAGAGTATATGCACACAATTAGAGCAGGATGGAAATCTCTCCATGTCCCTAGGGTAGGAATTCCACACGCACACATATGCCTTTAATTCCACAGTAGATACAGTATTTTCAGAAAGTACACTACATGACCAAATGTATGTGGACACCTGCTCATCGAATATCTTATTCCAAAAGCATGGGCATTAAAATGGAGTTGGTCTCCCCTTTGCTGCTATAACAGCCTCCACTCTTCTGGGAAGGCTTTCCACTAGATGTTGGAACATTGCTGCAGGGACTTGCTTCCATTCAGCCACGAGCATTAGTGAGGTTGGGCATGGTTGGACGATTAGGCCTGACTCGCAGTCGGCGTTCCAATTCATCCCAAAGGTGTTCGATGGGGTTGAGGTCAGGGCTCTGTGCAGGCCGGTCAAGTTCTTCTACACCAATCTCGACAAACCATTTCTGTATGGACCTCGTTTTGTGCACCGGGGCATTGTCATGCTGAAACAGGGAAGGGCCTTCCCCAAACTGTTGCCACAAAGTTGGAAGCACAGAATCGTCTAGAATGTCATTGTATGCTGTTGCGTTAAGATTTCCCTTCACTGGAACTAAGAGGCCTGAACTATGAAAAACAGCCCCAGACCATTATTCCTCCTCCACCAAACTTGACAATTGGCACTATGCATTGGGGCAGGTAGCGTTCTCCTGGCATCCGCCAAACCCAGATTTGTCCGTCGGACTGCCAGATGGTGAAGCGTGATTCAACACTCCAGAGAATGCGTTTCCACTGCTCCAGAGTCCAATGGCGGCGTGCTTTAAACTACTCCAGCCGACCCTTGACATTGCGCATGGTGATCTTAGGCTCGTGTGCGGCTACTCGGCCATGGAAACCCATTTCATTAAGCTCCCGACGAACAGTTATTGTGCTGACATTGCTTCCAGAGGCAGTTTGAAACTCGGTAGTGAGTGTTGCAACCGAGGAATGACGATTTTTACGCACTTCAGCACTCGGTAGTCCCTTTCTGTGAGCTTGTGTGGCCTACCACTTCGCGGCTGAGCCATTGTTGCTCCTAGACGTTTCCACTTCACAATAACAGCACTTACAGTTGACCGGGGCAGGTCTAGCAGGGCAGACATTTTACCAACTGACTTGTTGGAAAGGTGGCATCCAATGACGGTGCCTCGTTGAAAGTCACTGAGCTCTTCAGTAAGGCCATTCTACTGCCAATGTTTGTCTATGGAAATTGCATGGCGGTGTGCTCGATTTTATACACCTGTCAGCAACGGGTGTGGCTGAAATAGCCGAATCCACTAATTTGAAGGGGTATACACATACTTTTGTGTATATGGTGTATTCACACCCCTTGACTTTTTCCACATTAAATTGCAAATGTTTTGTCACTGGCCTAGACACAATACCCCATAATGTCAGTGGAATTATGTTTTTGACATTTTGACAAATTAATTTTAAATGAAAAGCTGAAATGTCTTGAGTCAGTAAGTATGCAACCCCTTTGTTATTGCAAGCCTAAATAAGTTCAGGATTAAAGATGTGCTTAACAAGTCACATAAGTTGCATGGACTCACTCTGTGTGCAATAATAGTGTTTAACATGATTATTGAATGACTACCTCATCTCTGTACCCCACACATAAAATTATTTGTAAGGTCCCTCAGTCGAGCAGTGAATTTCAAACACAGATTCAAGCAGAAAGACCAGGGAGGTTTTCCAATGCCTCTCAAAGAAGGGCACCGATTGGTCGATGGATAAACATTGAATATCCGTTTGAACATGGTGAAGTTAATAATTACACTTTGGGTGGTGTATCAATACGCCCAGTCACTACAAAGATACAGGCGTCCTTCCAAACTCAGTTGAGGAAAGAAACCGCTCAGGGATTTCACCATGAGGCCAATGGTGACTTTAAAACAGTTACAGAGTTTAATGGCTGTGATAGGACAAAATTGAGGATGGATCAACAACATTGTAGTTTCTCCAAAATACTAACCTAATTGATAGAGCGAAAAGAAGGAAGCCTGTACAGAATACAAAAATTCCAAAACATGCGTCCTGTTTGCAACAAGCCACTAAATTAAAACTGCAAAAAATGTGGCAAAGCAATTCACGTTTTGTCCTGAATACAAAGTGTTATGTTTGGGTCAAATCCAATACAACACTCCATATTTCAAGCATAGTGGTGGCTGCATCATGTTATGGGTATGCTTGTAATCGTTAAGGAATGGAGCTAAGCACAGGCAAAATCCTAGAGGAAAAACTGGTTCAGTCTGCTTTCCACCAGACACTGGGAGATGAATTCACTATTCAGCAGGACAATAACCTAAAACACAAGGCCAAATCTACACTGGAGTTGCTTACCATGAGGACAGTGAATGTTCCTGAGTGGCCGAGTTACAGTTTTGACTTAAATCTACTTGAAAATATATGGCAAGACCTGTAAATGGTTGTCTAGCAATGATCAACAACCAATTTGACAGAGCTTGAAGAATTTTGAAAATAATAATGGGCAAATGTTGCACAATCCACATGTGGAAAGCTCTTAGAGGGTTATCCAGAAAGACTCACAGCTGTAATCGCTGCCAAGGTTGCTCCTACAAAGTATTGACACGGGTGTGAATACTTATGTAAATTATATATTTCTGTATTTCGTTTTCTATACAATTGCAAAAATGTCTAAAAACATGTTTTCACTTTGTCATTATTGGGTATTGTGTGTAGATGGTTGAGAAAAAAATATATTTAAAGCATTTAAATTCAGGCTGTAACACAACATTGTGAATAAGTCAAGGGGTATGAATACTTTCTGAAGGCACTGTATGTCACTTAAAGGAATACTTTTCTCAAAACCACAAATTCCTATGATTTATGTTAAATAATGCAAAATATGTGAACAATATATGTTGTGAAAAAATGTTGTGTTTTGTTGCTTCCTACCTTATTATAACATGTGACATGTGGGGGGGGGGGTGCAACTCAATATTAGGAAGGTGTTCATAATGTTTGGTATACTCAGTGTACATAGCTATGATGCGTTCCTACACTATTTCCTGAATTGACAGACCACTAGAAGTTAAATCATGGTGAAAATTGTTATTTGACCTACTGATAGAACATAGGCTTTCACCAAATTGACAGGAGTTTCATGATTTCTATTTCTGGGAGTAGATTATCCCTTTAAGACAACAACACACCGTACAGTATATCGAAAGACAACCCCCCCCCCCCACACACACACACACACACACACACACACACACACACACACAACCAGCTAAGGTGAGGGCATTTAAACAGCACACATCATCTCTGGTTGTCACTATTCACCCATGCTTGTGTTAAACCCCTCTGACCTAAGCCCTCTCCACTCTGTCCATTCCAGTTCCAGAACATGAACAATATCATCACCTTCCCTCTGGACAGCCTGCTGAAAGGAGACCTGAAAGGAGTCAAAGGGGTGAGTAACACTATCCTCCATGGCTTTCTGTTACACTGTTTGGGGTGTTGGTTATCACAGGCAGAGATTAAAGTAGAGGCCTCCATAAGGATTTGTATAAAGGCTCTCCCATTACCCTACTGCACTGTAGTAACTCAGGCTTCTGTTTGTGTGATGTTAATTACTAGGTACTGTACATGTTTTGTACCTGGTAGAGATAAGGTGTGTGAGATGGTGTTTTCCTGCTGGCACGGTGCGACCCCAGACCCGGTTTGTTTGTGTGTGTGTTGGGGGTGGAAACTATAAACAGCGCACCATTCTTGCACTAGACAACACCGTAACTACACTCCATCACACATGTAAAGTCTGGGACCAGCCCACACATTCTACTAGCTCCAGGAGAAACCAGTCAGCCAGCCAGCCAGTGTGTGATGGTGCAGACAGCCTACTGCAGGAATTCAATCAGCGTCTTGTTTATATAAAAGGGAGGCTGAGCCCAGACACCCATCCAGTCTGCCAGGCCTCTAATCCCATCAGCACTCATTACTGTCTTCTCTGACCTCTACACTATAACCACGTGGGTCATTAGTGCCACTGTCTCTCTCTCTCTCTCTCTCTCTCTCTCTCTCTCTCTCTCTCTCTCTCTCTCTCTCTTTCTCTCTCTCTCTCTCTTCAGAGAGACTGGCTAGCAAGCTAGTCCCTAGCTATCCCATGGCTGCTCACTCTTGCCTCTTCAAATCTCCAAGGACTCTTGCTTTTTTTCTTCTCTACCTTGCCCTCTCCCCCTCACCGTTGTAACTGTTGGCATCCACAGGCTACATCAGCCCAAACGATTAAGCTTGTGTACAGATTAAGGCTGACCCCAATTAGTCGACTGGTCGATTGTTTGGTCTTTAGGCTGTTGGTCGACAGAGATTGTTTTAGTCGATTAGTAACAAAATAAAAATATATATATATATAAATATTTGCGCCCATCTCAATGAACTAATCCATTGCGGAGGCCTAGACTAAAAGCCAATTTATGTTTGATCCGAAAACGTCATAAAATAGACCTACCTGATTACTTCTTACCAGTGCTTGACTTGGACTGAAATAGGTTCTGGTACTCATTTTGGGTGCTGGTACTGTTTATATTTAGGTGCAGGAGCTCCACAATACTTTTGAGTTAATATTATATAAGAGGAACAGAAGCTCAAGCAGTAGAAAATTGAGGTGCCGGTACTCCACTCTGGTGAGCTCCTGCCCAAGTCAAGCACTGCCTCTTATCCCTTGCGCAAAATAGCCTACAGCTGTGTCTGTCCCAAGCTCACTGGCACAGGAAACTCTGAGGGCCCAGAATATTTTATACAGCAGGAGCGGGAGGAGAATAGTTCAGAAGCAGTGGTGCAGATATGCTCATTACCCCACAGATGACTTTCATTACACTCCTGACATGGGGCTAATGGGGTGCTAGTTATGGTGCTTTCTGCTCTGACTCACACAGCCTGTCTCTCCATTACCACTGGGGGGTGAGAGGAGAGAGGGAGGGGAGAGAAAGAGAGAATGCGTGCGAGACTGTTAAAAAGAGAGACAATTAAAGACTTTCCATCCCCAGCTTGCAGTATGTACTGTTCACTATCTCTCACCTACACTGCCACAGGGCCTTTTCCCTCCTCCCTTGCTTTCTCCATCATTCCTCTCCTCTCCCAGGGGAGGTACCTGTGGAGTACAGGAGGAAGGTGTCTAGACCAGCCTGAGTAGTGTTGGACTGAACACAGGAAGTCTCTAACATCCCCTGCAGTCTCTCACACACACACGTAATTTATCTGTTTCGTAGTACTGTTTCTTATTTTTGTTTAGTTTAGACACATGATTTCTCAATTTACAGTACGTTTGTCAATCAGCTGTGCAGCCAGACTTAATTACCATTCCTTTTGCCTTGTCGCTCACTACCATAGTTTTTCAATTCCTCATCAATCCATGGAGCCTTAACAGTTCTAACAGTCAGTTTCTAAATAGGTGCATGCTTATCAGTAACTGGAAGAAACAATGTCATAAATGCAGAAAGTGCAGCGTCTGGTTGCTCCTCATTACACCAGCAAATACGTTTTACATCTTAAACATAGGAATCACTAGAAAGATCTCTTGTACAACATTTTAGACCCAGCCTTTGGAACTTTGGTTTTTCTAAATATGGCCACTATATTATGATCACTACATCCGATGGGTGTGGCTACTGCTTAAGAGCAGATTTCTGCAGCATTAGTAAAGATATAATCAATACACGTGCTGTTTGTAAATGTCCTTGTAGGTTGACTGATAACCTGAACCAGGTTGCGGGCACTGGTTACAGTTTGAAGCTTCTTCTTGAGTGGACAGCTTGATGAAAAACAGTCAATATTTAGGTCACCCAGAAAATATACCTCTCGGTTGATATCACATACACTATCAAGCATTTCACACATATTATCCAGATACTGACAGAGTACTCGGTTGTCTATAGCAGGGTTTCCCAAACTCGGTCCTGGGGCCGCCCCTGGGTGCACATTTTGGTTTTTGCCCTAGCACTACACAGCTGATTCAAATAACTAACTCATCATCAAGCTTTGATTATTTGAATCAGCTGTGTAGTGCTAGGGCAAAAACCAAAATGTGCACCCGAGTTTGGGAAACCCTGGTCTATAGCAACTTCCCACAAGAATGGGCTTTAGGTGAGGCAGGTAAACCGGTAGTCATATTACTTCAACAGCATTTTACATGAGATTCTCTCTAAGCTTTACAGGAATATGACTCTCAATACAGCAACACCTCCCCCATTGGCATTCCTGTCTCTTCTGTAGATGTTATAACCATTTATTGCTACCATTTTCTCGTCAAAGGAATTACAATGCCTTCAGAAAGGATTCATAATCCTTGACTTATTCCACATTTTGTTGTTACAGCCTCAATTCAAAATGAATGACATAAAAAAAATTCTCACCCATCTACACACAGTACCCCATAAAGACAGTGATAACATATTTTTAGAAATTTGTGCACATTTGATTGAAAATGAAATACAGAAATACCCCTGAGTCAATACATGTTAGAATCACCTTTGGCAGCGATTACAACTTTGAGTCTTTCTGAGTAAGTCTCTAAGAGCTTTGCACACGTGGATTGTACAATTATTCTTACAAAAATTCTTCAAGCTCTGTCAAGTTGGTGGTTGATCATTGCTAGACAGCCATTTTCAAGTCTTGCCATAGATTTTCAAACCCAATTTAAGTCAAAACTGTAACTAGGCCACTCAGGAACATTCAGTGTTATCTTGGTAAGCAACAATGTTATTTTGGTAAGCCTTGTGTTATAGTTTATTGTCCTGCTGAAAGGTACATTTGTCTCCCAGTGTCTGTTGGAAAGCAGACTGAACCAGGTTTTCCTGTAGGATTTTGTCTGTGCTTAGCTGTATTCCGTTTATTTTTATCCTAAAAAACTCCCTTGCCGATGACAAGTATACCCATAACATGATGAAGCCACCAGCATGCTTGAAAATATGAAGTGGTACTCATGTGTTGTGTTGGATTTTCCCCATACATAAGGCTTTGTGTTGAGGACATAAAGTTAATTTCTTTGCCACATTTTTTGCAGCTTTACTTTAGTGCCTTATTGCAAACTGGATACTTGTTTTGGAATATTATTCTGTACAGGTTTCCTTATTTTCACTCTATCAATTAGGTTAGTATTGTGGAGTAACTACAATGTTGTTGATCCTTCCACAGTTGTCTCCTATCACAGCCATTAAATGTAATTTTATCAATTTACCAATAGGTGCCCTTCTTTGTGAGGCATTGGAAACCCTCCCTGGTCTTGGTGGTTGAATCTGTGTTTGAAATTCACTGTTCGACTGAGAGTCCTTGCAGTTAATTGTATGTGTGGAGTAAAGAGATGAGGTAGTCATCCACAAATCATGTTAAACACTATTATTGCACACAGAGAGTCCATGCAACTTAGTATGTGACTTGTTAAGTTCAGGGGTAAAAATGTGCTTATTTAGGCTTGCCATTACATTTACGTCATTTAGCAGATGCTCTTATCCAGAGCGACTTACAAATTGGTGCATTCAACTTATGATAGCCAGTGGGGGAGGGGGGGAGGTGGGGGTAGAATGATTACTTTTAATTATTCCAGGTATTCCTTAAAGAGGTAGGGTTTCAAGTGTCTCCGGAAGGTGGTCAGTGACTCCGCTGTCGTGGGGGAGCTTGTTTCACCATTGGGGTGCCAGAGCAGCGAATAGCTTTGACTGGGCTGAGCGGGAACTGTGCTTCCGTAGAGGTAGGGGGGCTAGCAGGTCAGAGGTGGATGAACGTAGTGCCCTCGTTTGGGTGTAGGGTCTGATCAGAGCCTGAAGGTAAGGAGGTGCCGTTCCCCTCACAGCTCCGTAGGCAAGCACCATGGTCTTGTAGTAGATGCCAGCCTCAACTGGAAGCCAGTGGAGTGTGCGGGGGAGCGGGGTGACATGAGAGAACTTGGGAAGGTTGAACACCAGACGGGCTGCAGCGTTCTGGATAAGTTGTAGGGGTTTAATGGCACAGGCAGGGAGCCCAGCCAACAGCGAGTTGCAGTAATCCAGACGGGAGATGACAAGTGCCTGGATTAGGACCTGTGCCGCTTTCTGTGTAAAGTAGGGTCGTACTCTGCGAATGTTGTAGAGCATGAACCTGCAGGATCGGGTCACCACTTTGATGTTAGCGGAGAACGACAGTGTGTTGTCCAGGGTCACGCCAATGTTCTTTGCACTCTTGGAGGAGGACACAATGGAGTTGTCAACCGTGATGGCGAGATCATGGAGTGGGCAGTCCTTCCCCGGGAGGAAGAGCAGCTCCGTCTTGCCGAGGTTCAGCTTGAGGTGGTGATCCGACATCCACACTGATATGTCTGCCAGACATGCAGAGATGCGATTCGCCACCTGGTTATCAGAAAGGGGAAAGGAGAAAATTAATTGTGTGTCGTCTGCGTAGCAATGATAGGAGAGACCATGTGAGGATATGACAGAGCCAAGT